ATATATATATATATATATATATATAACCTTCAAAAATAATATCTCACTAAAAGTTTGAAGAAAACTAATAGATCAGAAAGGGTAAATAGGTTGCCCAAATCCAAATCCAGATGGGGGGGGAGGGGAGAGAGAGAGAGAGAGAGAGAGAGAAAGAGAGAGATTGTTTGTTTATGTAGGCATATCCAATCCTTGAATTTGAAAGTTTTCACTTCTGAGCTCATGGTCTTTTCATTAATTACACAACAAAGCTTCCATGAAGCCAACACCCATGATATGCAAAGCTGCTTTTAACATAAGGAAAAGATGTGAAGAGAAATTTGTACAGAATTCTCCATAGTGAATTGTTCAATAGTTTTGCTTCCAGACCTGAGTTTCTTAAATTATGAAACTGAAAATATTACACAATGACTTCTGTCTTCTGTGGTAAACCTAAATAAATAATTATGATAGCTACTAAAAGCACTATTTAAGAAACACGTATTTAAAATTAAGACTAATCAAGAGATAGTAAAGAAAACTAATAACAAGTTGGATGGCAAGTACAAAAAATATTGATATTTCAAAAGTTAATCCTTGGGCCGGCCGAGTGGCACATTGGTTAGGAGTTAGCTTGGGACACCAGCTCTGAGCAGCAGGGCCCCGGTTTGGATCCCACATGAGGGCCAGTGATGCTGCGTCCTCTACAGCTAAGATGGTGAACAACAACTTGACCTGGAGTTGGGCTGCTGTGTAGGCTGCAGTGGGGCTGGCAGGCAGTGGGCGTGAGCTTTCGTGAGCCGCCATCCGATGGTCGGCGAGCGACCGCCTCTCCCGGGAAGAGCACAACGATAATACCAACATGGGCCAGTGAAACGAAGTCCTCAACAATTAGACTGAAGAACAAAAGGAAAGCAACTTGTCTGTTCCCCTCCCCCAATTCCCCAATAATAAAATCTTAAAAAAAATAAATAAAAGTTAATCCTTTTTTATAAAGGTTTTAAGTATACATAATTCCATTTAAGCAAAAGTATCTAAATTTGTGTGGATTTACATGTGTTTATAAGTTTGCATATTTATATATATTTTATGAATTTTATGTCTGTATATTTATATTTTTATGTAGAAGCCAACTGAACATAATTATATGCTAAACCCATTAGGTGAAAGTTTGTAGAACAGGAATTGCAATCTCAATTTATCATTCCACATATGATTACAAAGATAAAAAGATACCTTTATAAGGATAAATCTGGTTGATACTACCTTACTAAATTGATCAAATTTAACATCACCAATAATGGGACAAACTGACATCATATGCCTATTGATGTGTTGTAATGTGAAAGACACAACATCACCAAAAATGTTTAGTCTGAATCTAAGAATGAGAAAATAGTAGACAAAACAAAACCAGATTAAGGGTAATTTTGTAAAACAACTAGCCTATACGCCTTAAAAAATGTGGAAGTTATAAAAGGCAAAAAAAAAAAAAGAAAGAAAGAAAGAAAGAAAGAAAGAAAGAAAGAAAGAAAGAAAGAAAGAAAAAAAGTTAAGGAACTCTTTGACTTTATTGAAAACTAAATAGGATAACAAAATGCTTGTGTGGTGCTTGTTTGGTTCCTGAATCAAAATAAAGCAGTTATAAAGTACATTAAGAAAATTGGGGAAATTTAAATATGAATTATATATGTTAAATAACATTATTGTATTAATGTTAAATTTCTTGGGTGTGATAATGGTTTGTGGTTATTTAGGAATTGTCTTGTTCATAAAGGACACACGTTGAAGCTTTTCAGAGTGAAGTATATTGATATCTGCAAGTTACTTTCAAAATTTTTCAGAAAAAACATTGAGTGATAGAGCTAAAGCAAATATGGCAAAATGTTAATAACTGCCAAATCTAGGTGAAAGATATACGCGTATAAAGGTTCATTGTACTACCTTTCCACCTTTCCATAGGTTTGAAATTTTTGAAAACACAAGTTGGGAAAAAGAAAACCACATAAAATTATTCTTTAAAATCTTTATTTCATATGCCCATGTCAGCAATATTGAAATACAGGTTTCTCATACATGTACTCACTTTTTATGGATTTAAAATATGAAATGTTGAATGTTACAAATTATAATCAGAATTTACAACAAATTACTTTAAGAATAAGACAAAAGACTTAAGAATTATGTTAAATTTCCAGTGCAAATATAACAAGAATAAAGGACACTGGTGATGTTAATATTCAGACTAGGTTTTCCCCATCTTAATCTCTGTTCCCTCCCACTTAAAATCTTAAAAAGTATTCATTATAAATTGAAAGTACAGAATTCTTAGAAAATAACTGGATGATGAGTTGTATGATTCTCCTTAAAGGTACAATCTGCTCTTCAACAACCTGAAAGCCATTGAAAAAGTAACTCCATATCCAGTAAAAAAAGCCAAAGCTCGATTTGGCTGGGGAAGAGGTAGCAAATATGCAATGGTGTGGTAGATCCGTGCTCCGACAAAGAGTCTGAAGTGCATGATGGCTGTAGAGAGGTCTGGGCCACTTAAGGAATACAAAAGGCCAATACCAACAAATGGCACAATATTTTCAAGGTCATTCAGGTGGGCCCT